CTTCAGGTCTCAGCTCAGACACCACCTTCTATATAAACCCTTTCCTGATTTCACTTCCTCCACCCACCCCACCCCCAGCTGCCAGTAACCTCCCACCCAAAACTGCCTTTTATTCACTTTGTACATATTATGTATATATGTACATATGTACGTGCCATCTGCCCATGTATATATGTACATATGTACATGCCACCTGCCCTTTAGAATGTAAGCTCCTTGAGGTCAAAGACTTTTTACTTTTGTCATTGTATCCCCAGTGTTTAGCAGCGCTTGGTACTTAGAAGTAGGTGCTTAATAAATTCTTCTTTTTTTTTTGATCAATTGATAATAGTTACCAGGATACTTGAGTAATAAATGAAAGAAGTATGATGTTAGAAAGTTAGCTATTATCTCCTTCAATTGAGGTTAGGCATCTCAGCTCTTCCACAGGTTACATTCTAATCCCACACTGTACCTAAAGCATAGAAAGATTTGTATTGGTCTAACGTCATCACCTTATCTAACCACTATCAATTCCAACATCTGATGGATGTGAAACCAGGGTTCTTCCTACCTGCTCAGTATTACACTAGTGACCTAACCTAGTTTCCATCCTTGTGGCTTTCTTTTCCTTGTCATAGGTAAGAAAACATTTCTTGTCCTTTTTCCCAACTAATAAGTACCCTGAGTAAGAATAAACACAGTATTTAACATATGGAAACTTGATTTATTGAGCAAGAGCTAAGACTGTTATTACTAAAGAAATTAATTCTGATGTACCTGAAAAACATAAAACCTGATCAATTCAGGCAGGAAAGAGACATTCCTGGAGATTGAGGGAGAGGTCAGTCCTCTGCACTATATCATTTCCTCTGCATATAGAGAATTCAAGTGATTGATGAACTCATTTTTTGCCTTTTGAAAGGTTAGTAGAAAGTTGGGGACCATCACTGCACAAGCATTCAAGGTAGTGTGAACTAAGTAAATCATAGTAAAGAGAAAAGTCAAGAAGGGAACAGGCTGTTCTGGAAAAACCAAGTAGAATAACAGATCAGGTTTCTCAGAACTCCACTGGAAATCTGGAAACAAGTGGAAAAGTCAATTTGGGGCATCGAGGAAAATTGTCACAAAGCCAGCCCCCTGTACTTACTCCTAGGAGAGGAAGTGAGCTCCTCCTCCAATTTAGCAACTTAAAATTCTGTGTAAATAAGGCAGTCGGTTATGCCCAACAAATACATACTTGCACAGACAGGAGGAAGGTGAAGAACTATAAGAAGCATTGGCATCTGGGGGCCATTTTTTGATGGAGGCTAAAATCTCACTAGGACTGCACCTATTAACCTTTTTTTTTTTTGTATCATGGGCCTCTGACAGTCTGGTGAAGCCTAGGGAATCCTCAGAAAATGTTTTTTTCTTTGTTTGTTTTTGTTTTACTATTACTGAAGGTAATGCTCCATTGTTATTAGAGATCAGTGAAAATAGAGATGTAGTATTTTTTTCATCCAAGTTCACAGACTCTCTGAAATCTATTAACAGATGCCATGGGGATCCTTAGACCCCAAGTTAAGAACTCCTGATTTAGGATAGGCCTATTCCTTCTGTCCCCAACAAACACAGTAACATAGTCTCTCCAACTAAATTATAAGCTCTTTGAAAGCAGGGGAAAGCCATGTCTTAACATTAGTTTGGTATTTTCCACAGAACCCAAAATGAGACTTGATATGTAGGTGCACATATTCTTAGTAATTGGCACTGATTAATAATACAACATTTATCATTATTGCTTTCAGTGAGACACCAATATTTCTTCTAACTAGGATAAAGTATTGCTATGACCTGAAGAAGCTGATAGAGAAGATAGAAACCTATAGCTACCTGGCCCCTCTTTCACCCCTTCTTTGGTCTCCCTGCCCCCAGTGTTTAAATTGGGGAAGAACTTTGAGAGTCATTGGTCTAGATTCATTTGCAGAAAATAGGAAGTGGCAAGGATATCTAAAGAAATACCTTTACTATACACATGAAGCTCTCACCTTCTGCAGTTTTTCTACCCTAAGTTAATATGACTGACAGATCTTTTGAAGGATTCTCAAACCAATTAGTCATATTGTTTTGGGAAATAGTCACAGGATGTTAAAGTTAGAAGAGACCATACAAGGAATACAAGAGAAGAAAAAGAAAAAAGAAAGAATCAGAATAGGAAATGATATAATAAAACTATCTCTTTTTTCAGACAATGTGATGATTTACTTAGTTGAAACAATAATTTTAGCAAAGAAGTGAGATATAAAGTAAATCCATATAAATTATCAGCATTTCTATATATCACAAACAAAATCCTGCAAGTTTTGTTGTAAGGAGACATAGTGAGAGATACCCCATTTAAAATAACTCTCGACAGTATAAAATACCTGGGAGTATACCTGCCAAAATAAACCCAGGAACTATATAAATTAAAATATAAAAAAAAACTTTTTTATACAAATAAAGTTAAATTTAAGTAATTGGAGAAATATTAATTATTCATGGGTTAGGCAGGGCAATATAACAAAAATGACAGTTTTGTCTAAACTAATTTATATATTAAATGTCCCAATTAAATTACAAAAAGATGATTTTACTGAGTTAGAAAAAAAATAATAACAAAATTCATTTGGAAGAACAAAAGGTCAAGACTATCCAAGGAACTAATGAAAAAAAAATGTAAAGGAAGGAGATTTAGCAGTACCAGATTATAAACTATGTTATAAGGCAGTAATTATCAAAACTACCTGGTACTGGCTAAGAAAAGAAAGGTAGATCAGAGGAACAGAATAGATATACAATTGATAGAAGCAAATGACTATAATAACTGTGTTTGGCAAGTGTAAAGACTTAACTTTGGGGGATAAGAATAAGAAATAAGAAAGCTGGAATGCAGTCTGGCAGAAATTGGGTATAGATCAATATCTTACACCATTTACTAATATAAGGTCAAAATAGATATATGACCTGGATGTAAAGAGAGATATTACAAGAAAATTTGAAAGACATGGAATATATTATGAATTAGGGAACAATTTATGAATAAGCAAGAGATAGCAGTATGAGGTGTAAAATGAATAATTTCAATTACGTTGAATTAAAAAGGGTTTGTACAAGTAAAACAAATGTAGTCAAGATCAGAAGGAAAGCAGAAAGTAGGGGAGGGATTTAAAGATAATTTCTCAGCTACAGGGCTCATATCTCAAATATTTGAAGAACTTTGTCAAATCTATAAGAATATGAGTCATTCCCCAGTTGACAAATGGTCAAAAGATATGAACAGCCAGTTTTCTGATGAAGAAATCAAAACAATTTACAGTCACATAAAAATACTCTAAATCATCATTGATTAGAGAAAACAACCTTGAGATATCATTTTGGATTGGATATAATGATGGAAGGGGAAAGTGACAAATGTTGGAGGGGATGTAGAAAAATTGGAACACCAATTCACTGTTGGCAGAACTGGGAATTGATCCAACCATTCTGGAGAGCAATTTGGAATTATGCCCAAAGAGTTATTAAACTATGTATTTTGATTCAGCAATACAATTATTAGGTATGTTTCCTAAGATGATTAGGGGGAAAAGGAAAGAGTCTAAGTGTTCTAAAATATTTAAAGCAGCTCTTTGTGTGGGGTCAAAGAACTGGAAATTGTGGGGATGCCCCTCAATTGGGGAATGGCTGAAGAAGTTGTGGTATATGATTACTACTGTGTTATAAGAAATGTTGAGCCTGATGACCTTAGAAAAAGATGAATAGAAATAATGGAGAGTGAAATGAGCAGAACCAAGAGAATGTTATATACAGTAACAGCAATATTGTTTTAAGAACAACTTTGGGTGACCAAGTCATTTTGATTATTATAAATAACCAAATTAACTACAAAGGACCCATGAAGGTCTACATCCAGAGAAAGAACTGATAAATAGAAGTATATATAGAATGATTTTACATATATATATGCACATATACATACATATATACACTGTATATACACATGTACATATATATGTATGTGTGTGTGATGGTAGCCATCTCTAGGGTGGGGTTGGGGAAGAAAAAAAGGAAAAGAAAAAGAAAGTGACATGATTATTATATATTTAAGAGGAATAGCTAGTTGTACACAGTAGATTTTCAGTTTCATGTGTAACCTTTTTTTCTATTATACAAAGTCATGGAAATGCTTGTTTTATTTCTTAAGTTAAGAATAAAATTTTTTTAAAAAATGAACACAAGTTGAATTTCCACAACCAATAATGAACTATCTAGCTTCCAGCATAGACAGGACACTCTATATGAAATAGGATGGTAAAGTGCTAAATTGTAAGACACAGATGGCAAATCCAAGAGGCTTAGTGATTATTGTAGGTTTAAGGTGTCAGGGAAGTCTTCATGGAGTTAATCCAGATTAATTGTTTTGAGTGTCTAATATTATAGACAAATAGAGGGTGACAATGTCTTCCTTTTTTATCAGTGCAGACCAATTTAAAATAATCTGAAGGATCCCTTTTTTAGATCCTGTTAACAAGACCCAGAGCATGATTTTCAGACAACATTGCACAGAAATTTTTTAAAAATTGAAATACTTGTTCCTAGTACATTAGGTGCAAAAAATCCCTTTAAGTTGTTCCTGTGAGATTAAAAGACTTCTGGAATGGGGTCTGTTGTAAAAGTCATATTCAAACTTTTTTTTTAATCTCCACTTCCTAAAATTCTGAGTTTCCTCAGGTCCCTAAGGTCCCATCTTCAACACGAAGCCTTTCCTGAGCCTCCAAGTTGTTACCAAGCTGTTACTCTTGAAATTACTTTGTATGTCTTTGTATATACTTTGTATTTACATATACATGCACATGTTATACTCCACAAGGGAATATAAATTCCTTGAGGGCAGGGATTATTTCAGTTTGTATCCCCAGTGCCTTACACATAATAAGCATTTAATGAATATATGTTGAATTGAAAATGAATTAAATTTGACTAGACTCTTCTGTTTTCAGGCCCTTGACTTTTGTGGGATCACAAACCAAACGAATCCTATTAACTCCCCTCATGCATTCATCTCGGCCTTTCCGGGTCTCCAATCATGACCGAAGCAGCCGGCGTGGGGTGACAGCCAACACACTGAAGGAACTCATTGGCAAGGTACTGTTCCCAAAGTCCTCATTTCACTAGTCATAGCTGGTCCAATTAAGATAACGTTAATACAACTCAATGTCAAATGTCAGAGCCTGAGCAATAAGATTTTTGTATTTCTTTAATGACTTGTCAAACTCTGGAAATGGACTTCCTTCTCTTTTATGGCCTCTGGAATAATATGTTTCAGGGAGTAAGAATAATGCTAATTATGAATTAATGCTAATTTTCAGACTTACCAAGCTAAAATGTAATGGTCAAACTCAATCAAGGGTGACACTGTTAAACCTTTATCTTATTTGTAGGCACAGAAAGGTGGTATTTGTTTGTTTTTAAAGCCTTGGAGTTAACAATAGAGTACAAGTGTAGCTATAGAATGCATTTTGTAAACCTTAAAGTACTATACAAATTATTTTAGTTATCAGTGATAATAATATGGGGAAGAAGGCAAGAGGGAAGGATAGGGGATGTTGTACTTAAGGACTTTGGGGGGACTAAGGAAAAAAGAAGCAACAAACCTTTTTACTTTGGCTTGAGCCAGGCCCCTTTTTGACAAGCTAAACAGTGCATCGCCATATAGGTGACAGCCACTGGAGAAAGAAAATTGGCAGTTTGGGCCATGCCATATATTAGTTTTTCAAAAAATAATGAAACAAAAGACCATAATTTGCCAACACATTGGTAGTTCTGTGAACTGTAGACATAAATCCTGTATAATTTAGTGGATTTCTTTGAAATCTGACTATTTCCCAAAACAATCTGATTAACATGTTTGAGCAACCTTCAAAGTAAGTTGTCATAGATTATCTATCACTCATATTAAGTTAGGGTAAAAGAACTGCAGAGGGCGAGAACTCCTCTATATAGTAATGGTATTTCTTTAGATATCCTTGACACTTCCTATTTTCTGCAAATTGATCTAGACTAATGACTCTCAAAGTTGTTTCCTAATTTAGTCACTGGGGAAGGGGAACAAGAGAAGGAGTGAGAAAGGGGTCAGCTACATATTTCTTTGAAATCCACTAAATCATGAAAGGGAGAGCCATTTGAGAACTTACAGTTGCTATTTAAGATGGTAGCCTGAAGAACATATTGGCATTTACTTTTATATAATAATATTTTTACATAATCTTTACATAATAATGAAAACAGAGGAGTCAAGTCAAATTTAATACATAATATAATATGTAATATTTTTACATAATAATTGCATAATAATAGATACATATTTTGATATCTTTTAGTAATAGATTTTGAACAAGCAGCAAAGTTCAGTGGAAAAAGTGCTGTCTTTAGAATCAGGAGTTTAAATTCTGTGTTTTAATTCTTGATAACCATAGGCAAATCACTTAACTCATAGCATTGATTTCCCCATGTATAGAATGGAAGTATTCCCTGTCTCACAAAGTTGTGAGGAAAGTAGTTTTTAAAGCATAGAGACAAAGGTGCTTTGATCAGATTCTAAGATCTTTCAAAGTTAATTTCCTTCATAGTATAATTTGTCCTAGATTTGCTATGACAATCAATTTTTCTCCGGGTTTGCTCATTTCCCCCTGTATTCATTCACACAAATCTTCCCATATTTCTCTGAATCCATTAGATAGTGGGAGTTTGATGTCATAGTGTCTAGAGTGTGGGGCCTGGAGTCAGGAACACCTGAGTTCATATCTAGCCTCAGACACTTACTAGCTGGGTGACTCTGGACAAGTCATTTCACCTCTGTCTGCCTCAATTGTAAAATGTGGGTAATAATAGTGCCTACCTCCCAGGGTTGTTATGAGAATCAAATGAGACAATATTTGTAGAACACTTAACACAGATAAGCTTTTAATAAATGCCTATTTTCCTTCTTCCTTGCATTATATTTGTTCTTTCTTATGACAATAATATTTTGTTAATTCATATACCAAAATTTGTTTAGCTATTCTCTAATTGATGGGCATCTATTTTGTTGCCAATTCTTTGCTACTACAAAAAATGTTGCCATAAATATTCTTGTACATGTGGGTCCTTTCCCTCTGACTTTGATCTCCTTGGGATATAATTTAATTTGAGAAAGAAAAAGTCTGTTAAAGTGTTACACAAATGTGTGGTTGACTGTTCCTGGCATCATCCAAACTTGGTGATATCAGTAACCTCCTTTGAAAGTTAACAGATGGATGGCAATGCCGAGGGCTAGAGGTGAACCAGACCATACTTACTACAAAGCCAATGATACTGATTTTCTCTTCTATCACAAATCTAGACCCTGGATGCCCTAGCAATTACTACTGGGCTGGTTACTTTAGTATTGGAGGAAGATGGCACAGTTGTGGATACCGAAGAATTCTTTCAGACCCTAGGAGATAATACACATTTCATTGTCTTGGAAAAAGGACAGAAGTGGACATTGGTAAGCAAAAATGTCACCCAATTCTTCCCTCGCTGCAGATATGCAGAACTCCTAATGTTGGATATATATACCCAAGGAGTGTGAGGGCTTTCTCCATATTCCCAGCATAACTAGTATCCTCAGGAATTAAAATTGTAAGAACTGAGGCAAAGAGGTTGAGGGGCTTGTCTGAATCAACAAGTAGTTATATTTTAGGGCAGTAATTGACAGCATACTATGTACTTGAGGATGTGACCTGGTGACTGAATGACTTCCCAGTTCTCAAGGAGATTAATAGGGGAAGACCAGGTAATCCCGCAGCCAACACTTATTCAGCAGACATTTACTTTTTACTCTGTGCTGTGGGATTAGGGGGAGGTTGGAAAGGAGAAGCAAGAGATACAAAGTTTAGAGAAGTCTTGGTTTCTGCCCTCATGGAGCTTACAGTCTAGTAGGGGAACAAAACAGATACTGAAGATACACAAAATTGTACAATAAATGCACCAGAGAGGTGTAAAACAAAGTGCCGTGAGATCTGTGAGGAAGGAACAGGGGTTGATAAATCAATGCCAGAGATTGCAGCACTTCAGTTGGACTTTCCAGGATTTAGAAATGTAATGAGGCAAGAAGAGAAGAGGACATTTCAGACATGTAGGTCATTAAGTTGTAAGACTCATCTATTAATCTTTAGAATTATTCCACTCAGCATCTGACACAGAGTTGGCACTTGGTAAATCTTTGAACTGAAGGGATGGGTAGATTGTATTACTTGGTCAGAAAATCCACAGAGTTAATTAGGGAGAGATTCCTGGAGGTGATGGGTCATGGAGCTTCTTCTGAGGCTCTCCAGAGAGAGATTTTAGTGAGGGAAGAAGTGGTGGTTGAGGAAGAGAGAGGATGTAGAGGAGAAAAGAAAAGAAGGAAATTTGCTTAGATGGAAGAGAGAAGGCTGGATTATGGAATCCCACCAAAGGGCTATCATTAGTGGCATAATGAGTCTGAAGCTTGCAAGGACTATGGAAAGGTTATTTTAGGAGAGATCACCATAAGCCAGTGAAAGACTAGGTCAAATTCCAGAAGTATTTTCCCCCAATACTGCTTCCAGTACTGCTTAAAATAAAAACGTACCAATTCCACAGCTGAGGCTACTTTTCTCATGTTCTTCAAGGGAAAGAATTGTAAGTAGTGATACTGAACTAGAAGTAAGGAGACCTGGGGTCTAGTCCTGACCCTGCTTCTTCATAGGGGTTTGACCTTGAACAAGTCACTTAATCTCTTTTAAACTTCCTTTTCTTCATCCTTCTTGGCTACCTAATGGTGGTGATGTAGGGATTGTCCCAAAACAAATCAAAATGCTTTTGGTTTTATTTTATCATTTTAATTATTATTTTTATTTCCAATCATATTGATCTCAGTTATCATCTTGGTTTTTTGCTCTGTTGCTTTTTGAGATTTTTTAAAAAGTGAATACTCAACTCATGTTTTCTTTTTCTTTTATACTAATAAAGGCATTCACTGAGTTTGCTTTAAGACATGATTATAGGGTAGGGATACGGACTAGATTTGTAATTTCATTGGCATAGAGAACTCCCAGGTAAGGAAACTCTCTACCAGTGCAGGTTGCAAAATTGTCTGCAAATTATAGTCTTAGAGAGTTGCCTAGAGAACTGAGAAGCTAAGTGATTTGACCAGGATCTCGGAGGCAGAGATTTGGCCAAGGTAGGATTTGAACCTAGGTCTTTCCAGCACTCCACATCTAATGTTTATCCAATGCAGCACATTTCCTTTCCCCAAAGGTAAATGCATCCGTAGGTACATACTTAGATATAGGTATAAGAAAAAAAACCTTTGAAATGTGCTTAGCCCCATATAAAGAGGAGTTGTCTTCTCTGTTGATGAATTATTGTAGGTTGAAATCAAACAGAGAGATCCTAGGTGGTCTGCTCCCTTGTTCCCCCCACAGAGAATAGTTGTTTTCTTGTTCTTGCTCATTCCTGTCTGACTCTTCATGAGCCCACCTGGGGTTTTCTTGGCAAAGATACTGAAGTGGTTCACCATTTTCTTCTCCAGCTCATTTTACATATGAGGAAACTGAGGTAAAGAGGGTTTAAGTGACTTGCCCAGGGTCACACAACTAATAAATGTCTGAGGTCACATTTGAACTCAGGTCTTTCTGACTCTAGGCCCAGTGCTCTATCCACTGTACCACCTAGCTGCCCAATGTATTGTTGACCAAAGTGGCATTGTTTTCTTCTGCAAGTAAGATCTGACAAGAACCTTTTCTGATTAATCTGCTTATATTAACATCTAGGAAGCTTGACATAGTGAATAGAGAACTACTTGGAATCAGGTGGTCTAGGTTCACATCCAACTTCAGAGAGTCACTAACTGTATGATCATGACCAAGTCACTTAACCATTCAAAGCAGTAGTTTTCTCATCTGGAAAACGGAGATAATAACACTATAATATAATAAACTATTTAATAGGATTGTTGTGAGGAAAGCACCTTTGCAAATCTTAATTTAATTCTAGGAGTGGAGGAATATTGAGAAATGGCTATAGTGTGTAAAAATTTTTTTAAAAAGTACAAATAAATTTTAAATCCTTAAAAATGATTTATAAATGAATGATCAAAATTCAGCCACTTGTAATATGGATATGACCACTAGGTGTCGCCCCCCACTAACCGATTGAGAATATTGGGTAGCTCTCTGGAGCCAGTTAAGATGTGGTTTGAAGATGGCTTTCTACATTCTTTATACCTCATGGGATAAATAAGAAATCCATAAGCTCCAGGGTCCTTAGGTAATGGTGAGTCAATTACCTGGGCTCTAGTGTAATTAAATGAGTTCCCTCTTATATTCAATTAGGGCAGCTTCCCTTTCAAAGCAGATACAATAGTTACTTGTATGGACCTGATGGTTTTAGGGTTTGGCATATAGGTTTGGAATGATTATGACTTTGCTGCCTCTGAATTTGGATCTCTTCTTGTGAAGGTTAGGACACTGCCAAAGAGACCCCAAGTTTTAGTTGAAAGCCCTCTGACAGGAGCCATCAACGGACAGACCATATCAACTTTGGCCAACCTCCAGTTATCACTGAGGAGGCAATATGACTGAGAGGGAATGGCTTATGACTAACCTCTTTAGCAGACTGCTCATCTGCAACCTGCTGTTCAGGGACATTAGAAAGAATTCTGTGTATTTGGGAATGGGAAAATAATAAGAAAACTGGATGGGATGAAATAAAAACAGTAATATTTTTAATAATGGAATTCAAATATTGTGGTCTACTAATGTGCATTTGTGAAAAGGCCATAGCTTTGTATAGTGTCCCTCAAATGCCAGTTCTGTGCCTCATGAAGAGAATTGTTTTTAAACAAAGTGCTTAGTTTGGGGTGGGGGGAGAGAGGTGAGTGGGTGGGAACAATACTGCATTTAAAGTCAAAGGACCTGGGTTCAAATTCCAGCTTGGGCACTTAATCCCCTGTGTGACCATGGACAAGTCTCTTAACCTCTCTGGGTCTCCATTTCCTCAAAGTACAACAGAGTTGGATTTGAATGCCCAGGCCCCTTCTAGTTCTAAATTGATGATACATTTAAGCCTCATTCCACCCTCAGCTGTTAACAATAGGGCATTAACATCTTCTGCCTGGCTGCTCTTCCAAAATAGAAACAATGCTGACTCCCTCTCAATTGAAAATGAATGGTAAAGTGTTTTATTGTCAGGAAGTAAGGCCAGAAGACCCAATCAGATAACTATTTGGTATCTGTTGCAACTTGTTAACCTATGAGTACATCTCAATACCTTTTATCTCTTCTATCTTGGAGTTCTTTGAGGCCTCTCTCTTGCTTCCCTAAGCTGAATCCAACACTAAGTTTATAAGTTCTGGCAGCAGAGCCATAATCACAGTGGTACAAATGTTGAACTGAGACACAAATTATTCAAAACTCTGAATCAAATAGCTGTGCTTAAATTATAGGTCTTAGTGTAAGCAGCTCTCTATGAGCATCACTATTTCACATTGGCTTCAATAAAGCCTGAAGCCAGCCTAAAACAAAAGTTACAAAACTACATGTTTTGTTTTACTTGGTTTTATTTTTTTTTAAACTATTTTTCCTCAAAACAGGGTCCTAAATATGTTACTCAGAAGCAAAAAAAGTCTGGAATAGCAAGAGTCACTTTTGACTTGTATAAGATGAATCCCAAAGACTTTCTTGGATGCTTAAATGTGAAAGCCACCATGTATGAGATATATTCTGTGTCCTATGACATCAAATGCACATCTGCCAAAGCTGTGCTGAGGTAAGCTAGTTTTATAGGCTTAAATACTTTTTGTGCAAGTAGAGTGTCCCCATGTATTACCCCATCAGTAAATGGTATTTCTGTTCTCCTAGTCTCAAGCTCCTTGAGGGCAGGGACTCTTTTGTCTTTCTTTGTATCCCTAGCACTTAGAAGAGTGCTTGCAATGTAGTAGGGGCTTGATAAGTAATAAATAAAGTATTGACTGACTGCAAGGTACAGGAGCTCTTAGTCTAACCTCAGAGCTTGTTTTCATTCCTATTAGCTTATGTATCGACATCAAAAGTGCATAATCAGTGGCCCCCAACATTATTATCAAATACTGGTGTGGCAGAAGCAGCACTGGGCTCTGGGAGTCAGTGGATTCTGACTTGATTCAATTAGTTAACTGTGTGTCCTTGGGGAAAGCCACTCACTCCCCTGAATTTGGGATTCTTCATGAGGAAGTAGGATTAAGAGATCCTCGTGGCTCCTGTGATTCCAGATGCTGTGATGCTTATGGATTAAGAGGTCTCTAAATATCTTTACTCTGGGCCTCCATCAGAGTTCCATAGAACATTGGATGAACTGATTTTTCCATACAAGGAACACAGCCTATGACCACTGGATTCCCTGAAGAGAGTCTCTAGGAAGAAAGCTATGGCAGCAGGGGCTCCTAGGGAGTTTATCCAAAGATTTGGCAAATTCCTATATGGATATTTTATTGCTCCCTCTAAATCCCCTTTAGGTGAGGAGGACTGTGCCTGCTCCTATTTACCAAAGAGAAGCAGAAAATGGCTTGCCTTTCTGTATTTTTCCTACAACAGATCTTACAGCTACCTTCTCTGAGTGCAGGAGGATAGCTTAAGAAAATAATAAGAGACAAATAGGTTTATCAATTAACCTTGGGATTAAAAGGATTAGTCTGACTTCTGTTGTGATTTACTTAAAAATCACCCCTTTTATATGCATAGGCAGCAGCAAGTGCCTTCTAGTTTGAAAAAGATAGCTAGCAGCATCTTGCTGCAATTTGACTCCCAGCAAGTTCTTCCCTGAAAGATAAACTTGAGAATTTCTGCTCATTAGTTCAAATCAAGAGGAAGATCAAATAATCCTCCCAAGAGGCAACTAGCATTCATTGAATTGCTACAACAGCTAAGAAAGTTAGGATGAGAGCAGCCCAGCTGCCTGGCTCTGGGCAACAGTTGTGAGCACAAGACCCTAGGAAAGCTGCACCTGGCAAAGGGCAGTCATTTAGTCTGTGGCATCTCCAGACAGGTTCAGAAAAGCTTCCACCCACGACTGAACACACATAGGAAGTTTATACAATTCCTGGCTGTCTCAGCTTTCATCATAGCACAAGTTTAGGGAGCAAAGGGGAACTCTTTTTTTTTAATCCTCTTTTCAGCTTTAGACCGAATAGGAACAAAAGTTAAAGCTGTTGTTTCTAATGAACAAGAATTACTCATTTTTAATACTAAAATCAGTGGTAAGTGCTAGGCAGGATAGCATAATTATTTTTAATCTTAAGAAGCTCTAATTTCTAAGGACTAGCTTGGAGATGACAAGTTAACTGATTGCCCTGAATGGAGTGAGTTAACTAACACCTTTATAAGGGCAATGAGATCTTGATTACTTTTTTCCCTTCCATTGGCCATGCCTAATTTCAGTTCAGGTCTACATTAATTATTTTCATCAGTTAAACTCTTAAGAATTCACTAGTATTCTAGAGTTACTGAAAATTAATGACTCAGTGTTGACTGTATCAGGTGCTATTCAGTATTTAAGCTTGGCATCCCACTTAAATCAGGGCTTAAATAAGGGGTGTGTCTGTCTAATTATAACTATGTTAAGTTCAGGAGTGGTACAGAATAGACTTTTAATGTTGGAAACTGTTGCCTCCTTCCACCCTTAAGTCACTTTGGGGACAGTGCATGAAGATATGGAAGGAGAAAATTGATTTTTCTATCCTAATTTAGATGCTTAGTTCAGCAAGGGATGACATCTTTGGACCTTTTGTTTGTTTTCAACTAATTTTTACTGTGTTCTAGGCACTTCTTGCGGTTTATGTCCTATGCTGCCCAAGTCACCGGACAGTTTCTCATCTACACTGGGAATTATATGTTACGTTTGCTTAATGACACTGATGATTCTCCTTCTCCTCCTCCTCCTCCTCTGAAACCAACACCCAAGGGGTGGCTCCTATAGAGGGACAGTGCCTTGCATTAAAGGGATTGTAGCTGGCTCCATTAGTTTCCTTCCCAATGTTAACTTTTAAATGATTGGTTTCAGGGATGCTACCTTATATTTTTAGACACATCATTTGCAGATAGTTGGCCACTACTACTCAATACTAATGATTCAGGTAAAAGTTAGCTATGGCCAGCTTTTTTCCTAGGAATTTCCTTTTTTTTCCTAGGAAATTCCTTTGTACTAATGAGCCTGGAAGAAAGGATATACGCAATATGTTTTGATGGCTTACTGCAGTCGGCAGGGCTCTCCATATATCTATATGTGTGTCTCTGAAAGCTAGCTTTCATGTGGAATCACACCTCTACCAAGTAAATGTTGGAAAAGTACTTATGGATCTTCAGTCTGGATCACTGATAGTATGAAAGAAATAAAAAACTGGCAAATAGTATAGATGTCTAATGAGGTTCTTCACTGAGCACTGAGGGGCCACAAAATGTAGTATCTTCACTTAAATGAGATTGCCAGTTTCTTGACTTCTTAGGAAAGCTTCACTTGAAACATGGCATATGGATGGAATTCTTTATGGCCAATGCCATATATATGTATGTATGTGTGTGTGTGTATATATGTATATATGTGTGTGTGTGTGTGTGTGTGTGTATACCTGTTACTTTCATCATTGAGAAATTCTCCATTTTTAATGTATCTGGGCTTCTCTCAGACCCTACAAAAGTTAACTGGAGTTATTTTGTGAGGCTTGGGGGAAAGTGAGTTTTATATTTTCCAGAACCCCGAGGTTTTTATTTCCTTTTGCCTTCAAAGAGATTTCCTGATGTCAGTTTCTCTGGCTTAGGGCTGAAAAGGGACACTAGTCCAGACCCCATGTTGGATTTTACTTTATGAGCCCTTGAGTGGGAGAGGGTACCTCTTCAGCTTCTGCCCAGGTCAGAGGGAATTAAGAACTGAGAATCACTTAGGGAGTACTGTGGGAGTCCTTTGAGGACACAGACCTAGAGTAGATAGGAGTGGGCAGAGAAGATGTTGAACAGAACAAATCAAGATTGGGGACTCAATGGGGCAAGATGATCAGTAGGGAACCCTAGCCAGGGTGAGATCAGTGGGACCACATCCAGGGTTTCCCTTCCCCCCATTCCCTCAGGTCAATTGCTGAGGAAAAAAGATGGCAAGATCTGAAAGTGATTGAATCTTTCTTCCTCTTTTCTTTTCTACTGACTGGTAAGAGGTGCCAGGAGGAAAGAGGAAAGTGTCTGATCCAAGCTGCAACAAGTCCTCCAGCTTGCTGTTTGAAAGGCTTTTTGTTTTTTGGGTCAGTTTTTTCTATGTTCCCTGATTGTTTCAATAAGTCATATGACTTAAGAAAAAAGCAAATTTTCAAATCCTTAGAATTCAGGAAAGGGGGAAGGGAGGAATGAAAGTAACAAAGGCCAAACATAGGATCAATGCTTAAAGAGCAGAGAAAAGACACATTTCCCATTCTCAAAGTGGTTTGTGTTTTATGTGGTTGTTGTTGAGTCCTTTCAGTCCCTCCAACTCTTCATAATGCTATTTGGGATTTTCTTGCAGAGGTTTGCCATTTCCTTCTCCAGCTCATTTTATAGATGAGGAACTGAGGCAAATGGGAGTACGTGGCTTATCCAGAGTCACAGAGTAAGTGTCTGAGGCTAGATTTGAACTCCTGATTCCAAGCCCAGTGCTCTGTCCACTGCTCAATGTAGCTGCCTGTTGTTTTATTTTAGTTGCTTTATTTAGGGGGAAGGGTTGGTGCCAGGGTCTTCCAGATCTGATCTCTAGATCTCTGTAGAGCCTGAGGCTGGCTGCAGTTTGCATGCAAGCAAGCAAGAAGGCCAGTGGGTTACTCAAATTTAATTGGAACACAGTTTGATGGCTAAATAAACATACAGGTAATTAATTAGTTAATCCATGACAGCTCTCTATAAATAGCAAAAAGCAGAGAAATGAGCTGGGTCTGGGTGACTATACTTCTGGCAGCACCACTAGGTGGCCTTTAGCACCCAACACCCACACCACCCATCACACCAACTTATTTTCCTTTTCTCTTTCATCAATCAATCAATCAAGTATTCATTCAGTACCTACTATGTGCTAGGTACTGTGCATACAGACACCCAGTGATCCCTATTGAAAAGAACTAACATTTGAATAAGAGACAATAAAGAGTTAACTTTTTTTTTTTTGGTGAGGCAATCAGGGTTAAGTAACTTGCCCAGGGTCACACAGCTAGTAAGTGTCCAGTGTCTGAGGCCAGATTTGAACTCAGGTCCTCCGGACTCCAAAGCAGGAGCTCTATCCTCCAGCCACCTAGCTGCCCCAAGAGACAATAAAGAACTAGGGGCAGAGGTACAATTTGGTTTTTTTACTGTTTCATTAGCATGATGGATAGCTGACATAGGTCTCTGGTAGACTTAGGCTGGAACACTTACTCTGAAGATCCCTCCCCTGTGCCCCTACTTCCCCAACCTTCTGCTGGCCTAGAGTCTTACTTATCACATAGTTCTGAAGTTAGTGAAGTCTAATGGAAGAAATTACCCTCCGAAGGGTGGTGTTTCGATTCTTTTGAGGATGGCAGTGCCTTTGGGGGTAAAAAAAGAACATATAATTCAGAATAATCATTCTGAAAACCATTCTACACACACACACACACACACACACACACACACACACACATCCTAAATGTGATAAGTAATAAAGAATTCTCTTGCTTTTTTTGACACGGACTCTTCCCCCTCTTTCTGACCTTCTTCCCTAACTCCTTCTTGAGAAAAAGAGCTTTTCCTTTTAGTGTAAAAGGAAAAAAAACCTCCACTATTTTTGCCTAAAATCTCTTTAAGCCAGTAGGTCCATCCTGCTACAGAGTTTAAATAGTTCTTCAGTAACAGGGCAGCCTAGTGGGGAAAGAGCATAAGTCTAACTACTTTTTTCCTTTTATTCTCTAAAAATAAATATGGGATTTAAAAAATTTTTTTTGGCCTGGTTTTCTTTCAAATCCTTCAAACCAGCAGTTGTTCTTTGGGCTCCCTGCTCATTGTGGGATTGCGTCACTGACCAAGGATTTTGAACACTCCTGGAAAGAGTCGGGCTGCCTGGTTTCCAAAAAAGGAATTCTCACTGTAGCCCTGGTTCCTGTTGACTCAGCCTGTGCTGTCACTCTGTAGGCTGCTCTGGCCCAGCCCTCTTGCCTTGAATAACTTGGACTGCAAAAGAAACAAGTGTTCATTTGCCTGTTCCTTCCAGGGCTCTTCCCATCATTTTGTGATTTTATTTTCCCCCTTCACTCTTCAAAAAAAACCCTGGTATTGTGGATAAGGTGGGCAGGTAGAGGTGGAGGAGGGAAGTATCTTGTCTAAAATAGAGTTCCATCTTTTCTATCCTGAGAGTAGGAGGTAGGTAGGTAAGGTAGAAGTTGTCTCCTTTGTGGGGAGTGAACTACAAAAGAGAAATAAAGCAAGCCAGGCTCTTGTGACTTACAGGAAGGATGATTTTTCCACACATTATTATAGTCCTCTTTTTCTAAGAATATTAGTTCCCCATTATATAGTGTTTTATAAAGTTTCTCTCCTTGTCCCATAGCAACCCTTTGAGGTAGGTAGTATTATGCATAATTATCCTCAAGTTACAAATTAAGAAACAGATTTAGAAGAAGAAATGAACATGCCCAAAGACATATGACTAATTCACTGGCTATGCTGGGATTTGAGTATGGGTTTCCTGGCTCCAAGTTCAGTGTTCTTCCTATGACATTGTACTAATGTGCTGCTTTCTCAATTTAAATTCTATAATCATAATTATCTAGGGCTAGGAAAGACTACATTATGACATTGTGGAAAGACTGGCTCTGCCTCAGAAGTTTGCTAGCTGTGTGACCCCACTCTTTAACTTTTCTCAGCCTCCATTTCCTCATCTGTAAAATGAGATAATAATAGCACCTACTTCACTGGGTTTTTGTGAGGATCAGATGAGATAATACATATAAAATGTTACATAAATATTAGGCATTATTATAAAGAAGCAGTCATTATAAGTGATTAAATCAATTAGCTAACCCAAGATCATTAGTATCACTGAGGTAGCCCCTGTATAGCAGAAAGGCCAGTGAAAAAGACCTAGCAAAAGACTCAGAGGAACCCTTCCGAGTGAGGAAGGTGTGACTGGGATTAAAACAAACTGCTTCCAGAAAGGGTGTCAAGCAGGTATCCTTTGTCCATACTGTTGTTGTTCAGTCATGTCCAACTCTTCATGATTCCATTTGGAGTTTTCTTGGGAAAGGTACTAGAGTGGTTTGCCATTTCCTTCTCCAGCTCATTTTTTACAGATGAGGAAAATGAGGCAAACAGGGTAAGTGACTTGCCCAGGGTCACAGAGCTAGTAAGCTTCTGAGGCCAGATTTCAGCTCAGGTCTTCCTGACTCCAGACCCAGCACTCTAGATGCCCCATCCTCTATGTTAGAGGAAGTTTTTAATAGAAAAGTCAACTGCTCTAGGCCTCAGTTTCCTCATCTGTAAAACTGGGGATGATATTTTAGAACCTACCTCCAAAAGGTTGCTGAGAAGATACTTTGTTAACCTTTAGAGTGCTCTCAAAAGGCAAGTTTTTATTTTTCTGTCGTATTCGAAAGTCACATTTCACAGTTTAGGATCCTAGTTCTAACTTCTGTAGCTCCTGTGGTACAGCGAATCAGCCATGACTCCTGCTTTTTTGAAGATGTTCCCAGTTGCTAAGCAGCCAATTAAAAAAAAAAAAAGACTTCTCCTAACCTTGTAGTTAGTAGAACAGAATCGGTTACCAAATGTCTCTACTGTACACATACTGTCATTTGTCTAAGGCACTTCCATTACCCATCTTCACAACTCTCCCAGAAGCAGGCACTTTAGTTTCTTCATGTGCAGAATATAGGTAGTGAAGTGGATAGAGTGCTGGGTCTAAGGTCAGAAGATGAATCTTCCTGAGTTCAAATCTGACCTCAGATACTAGCTGTGGGACCCTGGGCAAGTCACTCAATCCTGTTTGCCTCAGTTTCCTCATCTTTAACATGAGCTGGAGAAAGAAATAGCAAACCACTCCGGTGTCTTTGCCAAGAAAACCCCAAACAGGGTCCGGAAGTGTTGAGAATGACTGAATTTATGGGAAATTTGCCTCACCTGATTGTGCTGATGAGCTCTGACCATGAGCTAGTTCTCATTACCGCAAATACTTATGTTCTGAGTTTTTGATGTTGCTTGTTTAAAAGAACATGTTACATAGATCTTTCAGTCTCGTGCTGTAGATTTCTCACGCATGAAACTGGATGAGATCTTCTGTGGTAACAAGATGTTGGGGATGAGGGTTTCACATGGAACTTGGACATTTCACATGGATACTTACAATGAAGGCTATTTGAAAAAACATTTTTCACACTTATTATCACATCTA